CTTATTTAGGATTTTTGCATCTGTGTTCATGAGAGATATTGGTCTGTAGTTTTCTTTTTTTCTGTTATCCTTACCAGGTTTTCGTATCAGAGTAATACTGGCCTTGTAAAATTAGTTGGATAGTATTGCCTCTTCGATTTTTGGAAGAGTCTGAGGAGAATAGGTATTAAATCGTCTTTGAATGTTTGTTTGAATTCACTGGTGAAGCCGTCTGGTCCTAGACTTTTACTTTTTGGTAGGTTTTTGATGATTGCTTCAATTTCCAGACTGCTGATCGGTCTACTTAGGTTTTCCAGTTCTTGATTCAGTCTAGGAAGGTTGTATTTTTCTAAGTATTGGTCCATTTCCTCTATGTTATTAAATTTGGTGTTATATACTTTTTCATAGTATTCTACTATGATCCTTTGTATTTCTGCAATGTCAGTCGTAATTTCCCCTCTTGTATCCCTAATTTTGTTTATTTGTGTCCTTTCTCTTTTTTCTTTAGTGAGTCAAGCCAGGGGTTTGTCAATTTATTAATCTTCTCAAAGAACGAGCTCTTTGTTGCATTTATTTTTTCTATTCTTTTGTTTGTTTGTTTGTTTGTTTGTTTGTTTTCAATTTCATGTATTTCTGATCTAATTTTGATGATTTCTTTCCTTCTGCTGACTTTAGGCTTCATTTGTTCTTCCTTTTCTAGTTTTTTAAAATGAGGTATTAGGTTGTTTATTTAGGCTCGTTCTTGTTTTTGGAAATAAGCCTGTAATGATATGAACTTTCCTCTTATGACCACTTTTTCCATGTCCCAAAAGTTTTGATATGTTGTACTATCATTATCATTTGTTTCTAAGTATCTCTTGATCCTTCTTTCTATTTCTTCTCTCTCTCTCTCTCTCTCTCTCTCTCTCTCTCTCTCTCTCTCTCTCTCTTTTGTCCTCTAGTTCCAAGATTCTTCAAAGAATGTCTACTTTCCCTAACATTCCTTGCTCTTGCTCACTCCATTGACTACTTGACTACTACAAGTTAGCATCTGTTCCCACTAGTCCAATGAAACTGCTGTTTTAAGGCAACCAATGACCAGCTGGGCACCATATGTCATTATATTGCTTATCTTATCTGACCTTCCTGGAATTCTTCCTTCTTCTCTTTTTCTATAGTGAATCTATCCAGGGTTTTGTCAATTTTATTAACCTTCCCAAAAACCCAGCTCTTTGTTGTATTTATTTTTTTTTGTTTTGTTTTGTTTTCAATTTCATTTTTTTCTGCTTTAATTTTAATTATTTCTTTCCTTCTGCTGACTTTAGGCCTCATTTGTTCTTCCTTTTCTATTTAAGATGTCATTTGTTCTTCCTTTTCTAGTTTTTTTAAGATGTATTTGGACTCATCCTTGTTTTTTGAGGTTGGCCTATAATGATTTGAACTTTCCTCTTATGACAGCTTTTGCTGTGTCCCAAAAGTTTTGAGATGTTGTACTATCATTATCATTTGTTTCTATGCATCTCTTAATCTCTCTTTTAATATCTTCTCTGACTCAGTTATTCTTCAGTAGTATGTTTAATCTCCTTGTATTTGTTCTTCTCACTTTCCTTTTACAGTAATCTCCAGCTTCACAGCATTATGATCAGAGTATATGGTTGATATAATTTCAACCCTCTTACATTTGTTGAGGCTATCTCTGTGTCCAATATGTTGTCAAACCTTGAGAATGTTCCATGCGCACTAGAGAAGAATGTAAGCAGCTGTTTGGGGATGAAAGGATCTGTAAATATCAATTATGTCCCATTGGTTTCATGTGACAGTTAAGAATGTTATTTCCTTATTGATTTTCTGTTTGTTATACCTGTCCATATCCGACAATAGGTGTTTAGGTCCCATTTTATGATAGTGTTTTGGTCTGTTTCTCCTTATAGTTCTGTTAGTAATTACTTTATATTTTTTGAGCTCCCTAATAGGGAGTCTAGATATTACTAACTATGTTGTCTTCTTGGCGTATTATTCCCTTTTTCATTATGAAGTGTCCCTCAGTATCTTTCTTAACATTTTTTATTTTAAAGTCTATTTCATCCTACATTAGTACTGATAACCCCACTTTTCTCTGAATGCCATTTGCTTGAAATATCACTTTCCTCCCTTTACTTTGAGTCTACATTTGTCTTTGGAACTGAGATATATCTCCTGGAGGCAGCATATGAGTTTTGTTTTTTGATCCAATCTGCAACTGTGTTCCTCTTTATTGGTGAATTCAGTGTATTTACATTTACGGTAATTATTGAAATATTAGGTTTTCCTATAGTCATTTTATCTTTTGCTTTCGTGTTGCTTAGTGTTTCCATTGTTTTCTTGTCCTTGCATTTCTGTCTTTTTATTTTTTCAATGCGTTTGAGTTTTGTGACTTTTCCCTCTGGTCCTTTTCGTTTCATATTATATACCTCAGTTCTGGATCTTTTTCATGTGTTTACCATTAAGAATATGTAAAGGATGCTCATATATACAGTAGTCCATTTTCTTCTGCATGTGCCTTATCTCCATTCCCCTTTGTAAATTTGGATCTTTGATTCCTCCCCTATCTGTTATTGTTATCCCAAATTGTCCCTATGTATCCTGAACGTTCATTTCTATCTTGCAATAGCAATTCTCTTCTTATTTTTTAAGCTTATAATACCCTCCTCTTAATAAGGGTTGCACTACTCTGCTTCTGTCTGTCTGCTAGTTGTCTTACTCATAGTTATGCATTTTTTTGGCATTTTATTTCAATTGGGTTGACCCCTTTCACTATTTCTTTTATTGCCAACCTCATTGTGGAGAATTCCCTCAACTTTTGTATGTCTGGAAAGGTCTTTATTTCTCCTTCGTATCTAAAGGAGAGCTTTGCTGGATCCATTATTTTTATCTGGTAATTCTTTTTATTTAATAGTTTAAATATTTGGTTCTGCTTCTTTCTTGCTTGTAAGGTTTGTGTTGAGGACTTTGAAGATAGTACAATGGATTTTCCTTAATAGGTTACCGTCTTCTTTTTCCTGGCTGCCTTGAGAATTCTTTCTTTGTCATTAGTTTTTGATAAATTTAATATAGTATGTCTTGGAGAAGATCTTTTTTTAGATTGAGATAACTGGGTGTTCTGTTAGCCCCTTGGATTCAAAGCTCCAGCTCATTCCTTAGATTTGAAAATTCTCTTCAACTATTTGTCTGAATATGCTCTCTGGTCCCTTCTCCTTTTCTTCTCCTTCTGAAATATCCATTATTCTTATGCTGACTTTCCTGATGGTGTCAACTAGTTCTTGTATTTTTCTTTCATTATTTTTCATTCTTCAGTCTTTTCTTCCTTCTGAATTATTTCTAGATGTCTGTCTTTGATATCACTTATCCTTTCTTCCATTTGGTCATCTCTGTTTCCCAAGTTTGCTATTTCATTCTTCATTTCTTTTAGTGTCTTCTTCATCTCCAGAAATTTTATTTCATTCTTTTAAATGGTTTCAATCTCCATCTAAAAAACTCATTCTGTTGATTTATTTTTTTCTCCATATCTGGAATTGTTGAAATGAATTCTTTTGGATGTCATTGAGTTTTTTTCAGAAGTACCATCCTGAATTCTGTCATTTAAGTCATGTGTTTCTGCATCTTTAAGCTTATTTTCTGGTGATTTTTCTCTTTCTGAGCTGCCTTGTCACCTTGGTTGTTCATGGTCTATTTCTCTGCCTGGGTATTGATGGGAGTGTATTCTATCATTTAAGTCACATATTTCTATGTCTATAAGCTTATTTTCTGGAGATTTTTCTCTTTCTTTCTGAGATGCCTTGTTACCTTTGTTGTTCATGGTGTTTAATGGACTACTACCTGAGCATTAATGGATGTATATTCTGCTTTTTTTTTTTTTTTTCAGAAAGAAGATTTATTATATAGAGGTCTCTATATAGCCTGTTGCTAAGAATTTTTTTTTTTTATTTTGCGGGGGTGGGGGAGAGGGGTAGTTTCTAGTAAGTGGCATCTAAGCCTCTTAGATCCCTTTTGAGAATTAATAATATCTTTTTTTCTTATAAATATTCAATCATGATCTCTACCCTCGGTCTCAGTCCCTGTCAGTGTTAGTGACAGTTTTGGTAGTGTTTGGTCAGATTCCCCTGGGACTCCACGGTGTTAGGTCTTGGATTTTATGCCCTCTTGTTTGGTAGGTGGAAGTTACTGTTATCTCCATATCTCAGCCTAGTACTCTCACAACTGCAGCTGCTATTAACCTACTGTTGCCACTCTGCAGTTAGACCCTGCTCTATTTTCTGCCTCATCCCTGGGTTCCGTTGTGTGGAGCTCACAGATTCCTTCGGAAGGGCGGTTCAGGAAACCGGCCACAAATTCTCCCCTCCCTGTACTCCTGCATGGAGCTCTGCCTGCAAGAGGCAGCTTCTTTGTTCCTCCCAATCTTCTGCCCAACTCCTGCGGTTCTGACCTCTGGAAGCTTTTATGCTCAGATAACTTACTCACTCAGTGTTTGTGTGCAGGATAGGCATTATTTGTTGAATTTTAGATGTTCAACTTATTGTTATTTCAAGGGAAGAGACCTGGGGTCTTCTCTCACTCTGCTATGCTTCTGACATCCCTTTTGAGTTTTTTGTAGTCTCATTTGTTGGGGTTTTTTCTTTTGTTTTGGTGTGTGTGTGTGTGTGTGTGTGTGTGTGTGTGTGTGTGTGTGCGCGCGCGCGCGCGCGCGCTATCGGCATCATACAGCTCATTGTTGATATATTACCCACAGAGCCTCTCTCTGCCAGAGCTAAGATGGCAGATGGAGGAATGGAACTCCTACAACAAAGACTGATCCAACCCATAGAACAGTAAACTGTTATCAGAGCTGAGACAATACTCCAAATCGTTTGATAATTTACCTTGCTAGTAGTGGGGAGAGAATTTGGGGTTTGTGGTCATTTGAAACTGCTGCAACTGCATCTATAGCACTTAACTTGGAAAGATACTTAGAGTTTTTCAGCCACTGGGCTGCTCTTGTATTCCTCTCTCCTTTCTGTGAACTTAAGTTACTGTATTCACCTGGGCTCTAACACTGACAAGAAGGACACAGGCCGGCTCCATGTTGATTTTGCACAGGCTCGAGATGACCTTTATGAGTGGGAATGCAAACAGCGTATGCTAGCAAGGGAAGAGTGCCACCATAGAAAAATGGAAGAAGAAAGATTGCACCTGCCATCCCCACCCTCAGTGGTCCACTATTCAGATCATGAATGCAGCATTGCTGCTGAAAAACTAAAAGGCATAGAGAAAATTTGAACTTTGTGATTAAAAGATCTCTTTTCTTTGGGGAAATTTAATAAATATATTTGTATTATTAGCAGCTATTCTTTGAATTTTCCACTGACAGATTCTAAACATTTCACATGTGGGGGCCTTACAGATATAGAGATATACTTAGTAATTCAAGAACCAGAAAATCTGTCCCTCTGACCTGTTTCTGCTTTTTCACTGTCTCAAGGGGTGGCATTTTTCTCTCCACAAATCAGGTGACTAAGAAGAAACAAGTTTTTTACACTTTTCCAGATCAGAGAATTTAGCTGTGATCCATGACTTGGGACCTATAAGCACCCTACCATAGATAACAAGTTGGTTTTGAATTCCAAATCAGAATAAATCAGAATGATAGAAGTTGATGTGACCCTGGAAAACTCTTGTAAAATCCTCATTTTACAGATGAGAAAACAAAGGCCCGGAGAGTGCTAACAGTGTACATTCTTCTTAGATTACTCAAAGACTTAGCTACCACCAACCAAAAGAGGACTTGCTCAATCTCTTAAAATGGGCAACTTATTTCACACGGCAACTATGGAGACTACTAGACATTGCTAAATCACACTGCTTTTCCTTTAGTTTTGATTCCTGTTCCCTTTGCTTGACTCTCAAAACCATTTTGCTAATTTAATATTAATTGACCTGCCTGGTCTTCTGTGCTAATAGCCTTTTTATTCTTCAAGTATGGTTGATTTTATTGGATAAATTCTGGTGTCCCAGTAATCTTATTTATGACACCAACTCACCTCTAATGGTATTAATTTTCCCTGCTTCTTGTGCTCCAGGCTCAGCAAGATGCTGCTAATTCCACTTTCAAAATAGGTTTCATTCACCAAAACTGGTTGCACCATATAGCCTAAGGGATTTGCACATTTAAGAAATCCTTTTTTTAAAATTGATTTTGTATTCCTATAATAGAAAAGCAGAAAACATAGAATCCAGAATAGAGACAAAGAAATAATGGTATATTTTGGAAAGCTGGAGAGGGTTAAAGCATTGATAAGATTCCAGGTCAAGACTTACCTGTTCATATAACTCCAAACAGGCCAATTTGAAATTTTTTAATGAGTTGGCTGGTTGTGTGGACCTAAGCATAAAGTGAGCATCAACATAAAGACTATATGCAAGTAGTGAAATGAAAAGCTGCTATAAAAGGAAGGCTGACATCTCAGCATATGTCTACACTGAAAAACAGGAAAGAGGCAAGAAGTTCAAATTGTAGTGTGTGTATGTGTATGCATGGATGGCTCCTCATCCTTAGCAATTCATTCAACAACCACTGCCAAAAAAAGCCATGGTGGTTTCTTTGCCAGCATAATGGGAAAATAGATCGAGATTTGGTTACTTTTGATTATTCTAAAAATAAATTCTTTTTTTTTCAGATGATTCAAAATTCTCAGAAGCTGTGCAGACCTTGCTCATCTGGATTGAGTGAGGAGAGGTGAACCGTCGCAGCGCCAGCAACTTCTACTCCATGATCCAGTCAGCCAACGGCCACATCTGCCGCCTGGTGAATGATAAAGGTACCCATGAGAAAGACATGGAAGAAGCAAAGGAGAAGTTCAAGCAGGCCCTTTCTGGAATTCTCATTCAATGTGAGTGGAAATTAGAGTTCTGCTGAAAAGATGAGAGGGCACTTCACTTAGTTACCACTTTTTCTACACAGGAGCCAGGCCTACAAAGCCATTCCATGTCAAAGGGCAAGGCTCCATTCTTCAGCCTTGCACTCTCCTTATATTGCCAAATGCCTAAGCTCCAATTTCACAGGATACATATAGAGATATCCTATGTTCATTTTCTCTGGTTTATCTACTTCGGCTCCTTAGAAACATTGACACTTAGGTCACGATCCTATGCTTCTACTTTTGCTTGTTCTCAAGTTACAAGCAGCCCCAAGCCTCAATGGAAAGTTCAGAATTTTGCTGCTAAAGTTAGAATATAGCATCAGCATTCGTAAGATTTGTATGATTATTATCACATAATATGCTTTTCAAGTAATCAATTTTAGTAATAAATGTAATTATATTTCCCAAGGTGACTGAATAAAAGCTAAATTTGCTACTTCAATCTTTTGTTTCTAATTTCCTTTCTTCTATATTTCCTTTGTTGGATATCACAGACACTGGGACAGAATAGGAAGCCACTGAAATGACCATTTCAAAAAGTAGTGCCACTCTAAACCTACCCAAGTTCTCTTAAATGAGACAGATCAGAAAAATTCTTGAGTAATATTTTTAGTTCACCATGTTACAAAACTATGCACATATCTTTTGAGCAAGGAACTGTATTCACCTGAAGAATAAAGGTAAAGTTTTATGGTTTTGCCTTTAAATAGTTATGGCCCACTCTTCTTATAGCTGACTTTCCATAGTTGACTCACATATATTTTGTATTAAGGAGAAGTGGTTTAATTTTCCACTTCTATTTTGAAAGTATATATGGACATAGCATCCAGGAGGAGAAAGCACATATTTTAGGATTTTAAAATGAATAGAAAAAGAGGGCAATGAGCATCATAGGAATATAAATCCTTAAATCATTAGCTGAGCAGAGGCTCTTGTCCTTCTTCTCTTTTCCAAAAAATGTCATGTCTAAGATTCCCTTCCTTTAAACTGGTTGGTATAAAGCCTCCAAATATTTGTACACATTTCCCCTTTTGATATCTTAAGAGACTCTGAAAAATACTAAGATTGCACTTACACATTCTTTCACAAAACTTACATTTCTCCAGTCAACAAGCCTAACTATGTAAACTTAAAATGCATTCCATAATTTTAGGTTTTGATTTTATGCTTCTGATTAAACCTCAGAATAGTAAAAGGATGGATTCTGTTGAAGTGAAGCATCCAGGCTCATTTTGGAAGGCTAATTTATGAAAGAAGCCAGCAGTGAAAAGGAGCTAGCTGGCACAGTTAGTTGTTTGCTGCAATGCTGTGCAAGGTCAGTAGTACTAAATCACATTCACAACTATTTCCTCTCCTGGCTGAATGAATACATATTGCCTATATTAAAACTTTAGTCACCATATCACCTCAAACCTTCTGGTTACCCCAACATACATAGCCTTTTCTGAATATAAGCATAGCTTAGTAGTGTCATACAGAAAGATATAATAATCCTGATGCTTCTCTTATTTCTTTTTTTTTTTCCTTTTTGTTGCCATCCTTGGATGATACTCTGGCTTGATTCAACTGCTGATCTGATGCTGCAGTTGAGCAGATAGTAGCTGTGTACCATTCTGCCTCTAAACAAAAGGCATGAGACCACTTCACAAAAGTCCATCATAAAAACATCAGTGTTTGGTACAAACAAGCTAAGGTTGGTAAATTTTTACTCTGGTAGCCACTGAGGGAGAGTTTCTTTCTTTAACCGGTTATCAATTTGGAGTTTAGCCAAAATTAAATAGTGCCAAGCTCCCATGGTCACAACAAGACCCTAAGGAAACACTAAGATATGTTCTATAATCTGCCTCTGTGTCCAGACCACCTGCTGCAAAAGGATAATAAATGTGCACATGTTGTCTTGAATGCATTCTACTGGATGGGAACCTTAGTAGTGAAAATGTGGCTGTGATAATTACAATTTTACTTCTCTAAGCTAGCTAGTCTTGAGTACAACAATAATTACTGACCTGTGCATCTAGTGTATTATTAGAGCTATCTTCCATTTATTAAAGTGTCTTAACAGTTGAGACTGGAAGCAGCCTGGTGTTACATTGGAGCATTGACATTTCTGAACTTCTTTTATCAAACCTGTTCAGCCATTTTTATAGGTGGCTGCATTAAAGGTAACAGAGTACTCTGATTTCAGATTAAGGTTGACACATACCTCTCTGCTTGTGCTCAAGTGACATTTTTAGCCTAATATGCCATTAGAATATGTCTGATGTGATTAAGTTGCTATTATGAATCCAAGATTAAAAACCAAGATGGGAGGCATGTTTTCACTGATATACATTTGGAATGGTGTTACATATACCTCAAGTTGTTCTGTTCCTATGGGCAGCTTCATTAACCAGCCCTGACACTTTCGATCTATGTATGCAGCCACTTTTTCAACTTCGTTTCTGAGTTCTCTTTGCCAGTTTGGTAGCAATCCCATTATATCTATCAATGCAGGTTGTCATATTCCTTAATATTTAAACAACATTTGTAAGGTATTTACATTTTATAAAGCACTTTCACATTGATTATCTCACCTACATCCCAATAGGTGTGGTGTAGTTGGAAAGAACACTAGACTTGGAGTCAGACATGAATCCAAATCTCAGCTCTGACACATTATAGCTATATGACTTTGAACAAGTTAGCTTTTTTCAGCCTCTATTTCTTCACCTATAAATTGGAGTTAATGATGAAACCAGTCTTACAAGATTAAATGAGATAAGAGATATGTAGACATTTTGAAAAATGTAAATGCTATGTAAAGGGAAAATAGTATTATTTCAATTTATTATTAACAATTCCATAAGGGCTAATATGTAGATATAGTATCCATGTTTTACATGTACTGTGTGCCAGCGTTTTTTAGATACTGTGCTCTGCCAGCTAGGTAAGCTATGATGTTCAGTAGGTTAGGTGCATTAAAAGCATTTTTGACTTATGATATTTTCAACATACAGTGGGTTTATCAGGGTGTAACCCCATCATAAGCGGAGGAGCATCTCTATTGCCTTTTTGTAGGGGAAGGTAGCTTCTGGTTGGAACACTGACTTGCCTAAGACACTTAAGGAACACTTAAGACTTGCCTAAAACTCTTCTGTAAATAACTTTGTAATAAAATATGCTCCACTAATATTATTCATCAAGGCTCTCTGTAGACATACCAAGCTTATCTATCTGGTGGATATATAGTTGAGTTTAATTATCTTTTCAGTAAAGTTAGCTATGTCAGTGAGCTGGACATTTCTCTGGGTCTGTAGAGAACTGAGTGCTAAAACCCTACCACCTAATATTGTAGAACTTCCTTAGCAGAGTGATAAGGATAAAGCATCTGGCTAGCAGGATTTATCATGAACTACTTGTTTCATGATGTGGCTTGTAGACTTTGTAGAAACCCAGAAAAATGCTTCTTGCCTGTTAGATTGGACTAAATTAAGGTCTACCTAGAATAACTCAAGCTTGAGAAGTAAAACAATTGAGAGTGAAACATAGTTTATCACCTTCCTCTGGCACTGCATTTCTTAAACCTAAAAGATCTCTTCTGCTTTATATTGGTGCCTCTTTAAATTGTGGCTCTTTTTTTAATTTCTGCATACTTTCATTTGATAACAGGCAACTCTGAGGACTAAAGGCAGTATCCTGTAGAAAGTGACAAAACAATCTTCTTAAATTGGGGCTGCCGTATAACACTCCACTGAGAATCAGAGCATCTCAGTCACTTAATCAACTAGATCGGCTTTTTTAGGTATTTGAGCATTGAAGCTACAACTCCTTAATCAGGGGTTTCATCAAGTTGGAGTTTCTGACATTTTTTACCAGTTGCCTCTGGGAATAAGCCAGTTGATGACCTCTTATATCACGAAGTAGCTATTTCTTGTCTCATTGTCATCCTCCTACCAGCAGCCAACACTGTCTTACTCTGGTGGGATAGAGATTATAAGGTAAGAAAAAAAATATATCCTTGAAAGCAGAGAGTTTAGGCACTCACTTTGGTAGCATATGCCAAGCAGACTAATTTACTAAATAGTCTTTTTATTGATTTACTTTCTTGATTTATATGTGTGAGGCTTCTACTGATACAGTTTGGAAAGGCTAATAAAAGAAAGCTAAAGTCCCTCCTCTTACTAAAAGTTAGGATCAACTTAATTGATAATCAGTCATTATGTATCATACAATAGATATTGATTAAGAATTTGTGTTTGCGCTTTGCTTCATTGTATTGATTGTCACAGAATCAAATCCTACATAAGTGTAGAAGCTGTCTACCTATTCTCTGCTCCTTTTTCTTCCTTCATCTCATCCCTTCTCACCAAGAATTCTGATAATGTTGAAAGTCTAAGCAAGTAAAATTTTGTTACACAATTAACAAGAAATTCTGCTTTTCTGATAATCATGTTCACATAATAAAACATGAGTTTTAAAGATGAATTTAAGTACATATAATTTTTTTTGTGAAACCATACAGTAGTTAACATGCAAAGATTTATGGTTTTCCTACTTTATGATAAATCGAGAATGTCAGCTGATATGTATGTGATTCTTTTCATGCATTTTCCTCTGTCTAAAATTTCAGTTTTAGTTTATTTTGAAAGTACTCTGCCCTCCATTGTGGAGTAGTATGTGAATTTCTAAGTTTCAGAAAAGTTACCATTAGAACAGACTCAAAATCATTATAATGCACTTTCAGAAATCACTAACAGTTCACTGTTTAAATGAAAAAAAATAGCACAGGTCTACTGTGAGCAAGAAAGCAGTATAGAAACTTTAGGAGAGCTATTGCCTTTTTTGATGTAGTCTATCAGTGATGTGACCTACTCAATTTCAGGTAGAGATTCACAAATGAAAATTTCTGGAAAATATTTTTGCATGTCATTGCCATTATTTTGGTTTTGCACTAAAACCAAATACCAGGATGGGAAAAGGGGAAAATTTGGGAGGTGCAGCTATTTCTCTTGCTCCCTGCATTTCAGTGGCTCAGAGTCCTCCTTCTGACTGTACCTATGTCCAAGCTAGATGGAATACCTTCTTAAGATAAATGCCACTTTTCACCCTTTCACTCTGAAGGTATTTGGATCCACCAAGAATAGAAAAAACAAACAAGTTTCTTAGATATCAAGAACTTTTATGGTAAGGTTTTAAAATAATTAAAATCTCACTTGCATTACTTAGGGGTACTGTCATTTACTAAATGCTCTCCATAAGTTAACTGTAGTTTTATACTCTAACCTCTGTTCTCTTTGCCTTCTATCCCATTCATGTGACTTAGTATTGGATATTTATAGAAGAGTAATGAGGAAGCATTTGAGATATTGCTCTCCAGCATATGTGGACAGTTTGGCTCAAATGAAATATATATGCCTAACTGATTAATTTTTTTTATTATTTATTATTATTTATGCCTACAACACCTGGTGTTCCTAGGTAGTCTCCCATCCAAGTACTAACCAGGCCCGATCCGCTTAGCCGGAGATCAGGGATTGAGCTTCTTCAGGATAGCATGGCCGTAGACTAAAAAAATTACCATTTTAAAATGGCACTTACCATCATAAAACCAAACCTCAAAATCAGCACCAGGGGAATTTTCCATCAAGACACATTTAGCATATCTTGTAAAATAAGTGATTTTGGGAGACTTAGATCTTACAAGCTGTACAAATCTGGAAGCATACTGATATTTTCGCCAGTACTTTTCTAGAGGGGAAAAGAAAAAAAAAATATTTATTTAAGGGAATAAAGTGTTGACTTAATATAAATCTCATGAAAATTTAATATTTATTTCTCCTCTTCTTCAAAATTTCAAGTTGATAGGTTAGTAATCCCATGACCAACAAAAATATTTTAGATATGTAAGTCTGTAACTAAAAAAACTTA